TGTGATCACTGCCATATGACCACAGGAGCTAGAGGCATTGTCTAGGCTACTGGGCATATGAGCTCCATGATGCCCATGTCCTCTGGCCAGGCAGACACAGACCTGAGGGCCAGCAGAGCGACCAAGGAGCAGCACCACCTTTCTGATGGCAGCCTGCTCTTTCCAACAGTTCCCTACCAGAATCCTGCTCACTGGAGCAGAGATGTCAGCATCAACCAGGAACCACACCTGTGCTAAAACTGCCTGGGCGGCCTCTGGCTTGAGGGCTCGATGCCGACGAAACTGGAGGAATGTTGTCTCTCCTCAGTCTCATGGCAAGGACTGATCTTGTTTTCTCTTCCCCACAGGGGGTTCCAGCCAGCATCACATTTTTCAGTCCCTCTGGCCTCACATACAGTCTCAAGCATATTCGGGAGTTATCTGGTGACAATATCGATCAAATTAAGGTAAGTTATTCAATGGGCTTTTGGTCTTTTTCAGATTAGTTTTTTTGGTTTTTGTTTTTGTTTGTTTGTTTGTTTTTTTAATCTTTACGGATTATCCTAGGGCTCCAGTGTCAAATGAGACACCCCTGGCCTAGCAGGTGCCTTAGAATTGGAAGGGCAGCTCTACCTCCTGCTGGGCTGTTGCACAGACTGCTCACCTTCTCCCAGCCCATTTCCTCACCTGCAGCATGGGAATAATTGTCTCTCTGTGGCTTTCATAGACATATGTATGGTCTTCCCTGCTTAGGATGAGTCTCAGAATTACATGAGGGAATTTGAGTAAAGTCCTTAATTAGCTGAGGGCTTGGTACAGGTGTTAGCATCCTTTCCTTCCTTTCCCCCATCTTATGTTTGCCATTATTATCTATTCTAAAAGCAGTCACCGTTTTCATGTTTTTTAAAGGGTTTACATTCACACTTACTAGGAACTGTATTTATTGTGAGTCTACAAATAACCACAACTCTTGTGTCTGTAATAGAAATACCCTTGAACTGGCTCCAGAGGGACTGAGGAGAGGGTGCAGGATGTGACCCAGAACCCAAGGGCAGAAACTGCCACTCACTGCAGTCAGGAAGAGCAAAAGGCTTCACCTGCCTTCTCACAGGTGCATCTCATGTGGGGAGTACGCACTGCTTTCCCAGGTTTCAGAGACATCAGATGGCCTGTCTGTAGGTCACGCTGCTGAGAAGGAAGAGCTGCAGTTTGAACCTGGGAAGACTGATTCCACATTGCCAGCCATGGTAGTGCCTTGCCATGGTCTCAGGAGCTGCTGAGCAGTTGATGGACTTCTGGGCAATAACTGATATAATTCCCACACCAGTCCAGTGGTGGGTATCCAGAAAAAGAGGTCAGTGGTCCTCATTACAGGTGAGGACACTGAGGCCCAGAGAGGTTAAACAACTTGCCAAAGTCGTGTGTTGAGTCACTGGAAGGCCCAGGACTCACACAGGCCACTGAGGAAGAAAAACAATATCCGAATCTTGTGGTTAGAAAGATTAGAGAGAGAGGCCAGGCGCGGTGGCTCCCACCTGGAATCCCAGCACTTTGGGAGGCCGAGGCAGGCGGTCACCTGAGGTCAGGAGTTCCAGACCAGCCTGACCAATATGATGAAAACCCCATCTCTACTAAAAATACAGAAATTAGCTAGGCGTGGTGGCATGCGCCTATAATCCCAGCTATTTGGGAGGCTGAGACAGGAGAATTGCTTGAACCCCGGAGATTGAAGTTGCAGTGAGCCGAGATTGCACCACTGCACTCCAGCCTGGGCAACGAGAGTGAAACTCTATCTCTGCCCCCTCTTGCCCCCGCCGCCCAAAAAAAAAAAAAAGAAGGAAAGAAAAAGATTAAAGAGATAGGACCCATAAAGTGCTTAGCATGGCAGCTGGTCCACAGTGAGCGCTTACTTCATATTGCAGGTCAGGAAGGGTAAAACGGTGCTGGTCCTGCTCTGGTTCTTGTCCCTGTGTGTCATGCTGACTCTATCCTAGACCTGTAGGAGTCATCCCCCCTGCCCCACCCACCCACCCCCGAGTCACACAATGCTGTGAGATGCCTGGTGGTATAAGCCTAACATAGTTTTCCCCAGGCTTCTTAGTGTTTGCCTAGAGGAAGAACACAAGATTTATACTCTATCTTCTTTCAAAGCAAGCATGTTTAAAAGTACAAATGGATACTCAGCATGTGAACCAAGAACTCAGGCCTTTCTGAATAGACTGCTGCCTGCATTGTCCACACCCATGGCAGCTGGGGGCTGAGTGTGTGTGCCTATCCTGCATCTGTCACACCCGTTTCTACAGCCCTCCAGACACTCTGAGAGCTCTCAGTAGCCCCCTCGCCTCTTCCTACAGTGATTGATTACCCTGCCTGCCAGTAGTTAACTGCCATTAAATCTGCCATTGCTGAGGAGGAGAAAGTGACAGAGCTGGCCTTGCTCACAGTGACCCTGGACTGCTTGAGGGCCACGAAGGCACTGTGTGTGGGGTGTGAGTTGTCCCTCGTCACTGGGACTTGGCGCTGGATAGTGAGGTGCTTTCAAGGTTCACAGAGGACACAGTCCTAGCCCGTGAGTTGGTAGTTAGACTTTTCTGTCTCAGCTCGGCCTCAGATTTGCTAGTAGCCTCCCTTCCCAGGAGTCCCTGTAGGACCCACTGTTTGTACAGCACTGCACAACATGCAGGTGCACCACAGAAGATCAAAGGGGGTAAGGGGGCGATCTCTGACCTGAACTTGCTACTTACCATTGACTTGGGAAGACGGTGCACTTGTCTATAAATGCCACAGAGATGTCACTCCAAAGCAGTAGGTAAGCAGATTCATAATCACCACCACCACACTAATGGCAGCAACTGAATTTCCTGTGTACAGGAAAATGCCCTTGCAGCCTGTGAGGTGGGTATCTTCACACGTAGTGGTCGCTAACCACAGTGGCAGAGCCAGGCTGTGAATGTGGCTGCTGCCCCCACAGCCAGGCTGGTGCATTCACGTTCAGTTTGTGCCAGGGATGGAGAAAGAACATTGATGCTGGGCCCCCTCGCCTAGCCTGGGGAAGACTGTACTGCTCTGTGGGGCACCGTCGTGTGAGCCTTCGCTGACACAGAGGAGTGAAAGGCTCCTGTGAAAAAGCTGCCGTTTCACCAAACTGTTGGTAACCCTGCTCTAGGACTACAGTCATGTTTGCCATTTGCTGTTTCCCAGTCCCAGGGAGTTTCTTTTTTTCAAATTTTTAAATAGCTTTATTGAGATGTAATTCACAAACCATAAAATTTACTTTTTATGATTTTAATATGTAAACTTAAAAATTTTTTTAAAATTTTTTTTTTAGAGATGGGGTCTCACTATGTTGCCCAGGCTGATCTCAAACTCCTGGCCTCAAGCAATCTTCCCACCTTGGCCTCCCAAAATATAGGGATTACAGGTGTGAGCTACCATGCCCAGCCCAATATGTAAACTTCAACATGATTTTTATGATAGTCACAAATTTGTGCATCCATCACCACTGTCTAGTTCCAGGACATATCATCACCCCAAAGAGAAACCCAGTACCCATTTGCAGCCACCCCTCATTCCCTCATTCCTCCCACTTCTTGGCAACCACTCAACTGCTTTTCATCTCCATGGATTCACCTATTCCGGACATCTCGTATTAATAGAATCATACACTATGTGTTCTTTTGTAACTGACTCTTTTCACTAGCATAGTGTTTTCAAGGTTCATCCATGTTGTAGTAGGTACCAGTACTTCATCCCTTTTTACTGCCAAATAATGGTACATGCTGAGGACTGTTTTATTTACCCATTCACTAGTTGATGGACGTTTGGATTGTTTTCCACTTTCAGGCTATTAAATAATGCTGAACATTCAAATACAATTTTCTGTGTGGACGTAAGTTTTCATTTCTCTTGGGTGTATATCCAGGAGTAGATTTACTAGATCTAAGGTAACTTTGTTTAACATTTGGTCGAATTACTGCTATTTTCCAAAGTGGTTGTGCCATTTTAAAGCATTGTCACTAGCAATGTATGAGGGTTCCAATTTCTCCATATCCTCCACGTCCTTATTTTTCTGTCTCTGATTATGGCCATCCTTGTGGGTCTAAAGTGGTTACTCAGCATGTATTTGATTTAGATTTCCCTAATGACTAATGATGTTGAGCATCTTTTTATGTGTTTGTTGGTCATTTTTATATCTTCTTTAAAGAAATATCTATTCAAATCCTTTGCCTACTTTTAACCCAGGTTATTTGTCTTTTTATTGTTGAATTGCCAGAATTCCTTATTCTGAATACAATTTTTTTTTTTTTTTTTTTGCGAGACAGTGTCTCTCTCTGTTGCCCAGGCTGGAGTACAGTGACACAGTCTCAGCTCACTGCAACCTCCGCTCCGGGGGTTCAAGCTATTCTCCTGCCTCAGCCCTCCTGAGTAGCGGGATTAGGAGGGTGCGTGCCACCACGGCCTGGCTAATAATTTTTGTTATTTTTAGTAGATGGGGTTTCACCATGTTGGCCAGGCTGGTCTTGAACTCCTGACCTCAGGTGATCCGCGCTGCCTTGGCCTGCCAAAGTGTTGTATTACAGGGTGTGAGACCACTGCCGCCTGGCCTCTGGATTACAAATTTTGAGTTATTGGACATATGGATTTGTTAAAAATTCGTCCCATTCTGTAAGTTGTTTTTTACTTTTTTTATTTTTATTTTTTATTTTTTATTTTTTGAAGCCACAGAAGGTTTTCAATTTTGATAAAGTTCAATTTATTGGTTTTTTCTTTGTTAGTTGTTTCTTTGGGTTGTATCAAGAACCATTAATTTGTAGTTTGCTTTAATTCAGTGTTTTGGAAGGTTTATTCCTATGTTTCCTTTTAGGAGTGTATAGTTTTAGCTCTGAACTTAGGTATTGATCTGTTTTGAATTGATTTTTGTGGGTGTGTGTGAGGTAGGGGGTCCAACTTTATTTTTTCCTCAGGGGTTTCCAAAGAATGGGTGCTTAGCAGGGCAGTACTGTAGGCAGGGTGGGAGTGGGGCCTGTTTCAGGACAGTGGGCCTCCCTTCCCTCGTTCTGACTAGCTGGAGGAAGGAGGCTCAGGCCTGCAGCATCCGAGTTATGCAGAGGTTACAGGTGGCTTGTTAACTACACTACCCACCTAGCCTGCCACTCACTTTGCTGGGAGGGAGGATGAAGCGGAGTGCTGGGCAGGGGCTGCCACTGTTGGATGCTCCCCTGCTCCCAACAGCTTCGGGGTCCACAGTCTCAATGCAGAGGAGAGTAGGGGATGAGGACCTTCTCTCATTTAACCACCACACTAGCCCTCTGAGGCCAGGGTGACTGTGCCCCTTTTATAGGTGAGGAACAGAGAGGCTAAGGGACTTGTACTAATAACAGCTAGCGGGGCAGAGCTGGGACAGAAGCAGTGCCCCATCCCAGGCGAGGCTCTGCACAGAACCATCGAGCCTGTGGTGCTTGTTCAGAGAGAGGTGTCCTGTGGATGAGGCCAGTGCCCTGGATTGGCTGATTTGGAAGGATCACGACAACATAGGCAGCAGCCCATGACGGCCATCGAGCTTATCTCTGGGCCAGGCCAAGTGGTTCACACCTGTCACCTCATTTAATCCCCACAGCAGCCCAGTGAAGAGTCCGGTTATCTTTTCTTTTTATGGATGAGGAGATGGAGGCCAGAGAGGACGGGCCATTGTCCTGTGGAGCTGGGATTTAAATCCCAACCCTGTGGCCACAGAGCCCTGACCTTGATAGTCTGCTTTCCTGGGGATTCAGTCACTGCCTCTGCCACACCCTCCTCCCCTTGATCAGATAGGGCCCCCGCCACTCGAAGCAGAACTGTCTGCAGCTAGAGCTTCTGAGGAAGGACTGCACCGATGCAGCCACGATGGTGAGCACCAGCCTGGGGTCTTCATGTCCCTGCCCCTCACCTGAGCCTGGGAACAGTGTGCTGTCGCTCAGGGTGGCAGAGAGACGGTGATGAGAGCATGAATGCAGAGGTATTTTGCACACTCAGAAGCTGGGCTCGAATCGGGCAGTGTTGTCGTTTATATAAACATGAGCAGTAACGTCCAACCGAAAGGCTGGCTGACGCCCCCTCCACATCCAGCCGCCTGCTGCCCCAGCCCCTGCTAGTGTGCTGAAGCCCTGTTTTCTCTTCTGTCTTTATAGTTTGCAGCCATCGGCCCCACTACGGCTCGCGCGCTGGCCGCCCAGGGCCTGTCTGTAAGCTGCACTGCAGAGAGCCCCACGCCACAAGCCCTGGCCACTGGCATCAGGAAGGCACTCCAGCCCCATGGCTGCTGCTGAGTCAGCCACCTGTCGCTTGCCCCATGCAGCCTCCCTGGGCTGGGCTGGCTCTGGATGGAGCTGGGCATTGGCAAAGGCTCTCAGGAGCTGCTGCCATCAGACTCCTGCTTCAAGCCTGAGTGGAAGCATCTGAGGACCGGGGATCAGGACCTGACCTGGGGCTGGCCTCAGGCCCACGTGCACGTGACCACCCTCTGTGGAAGCCTGAACCCTAGCCCTGTGAGAGCTTCCTGTGCCCAGCAGGAAGGAAATAAAATAAACCACACTGGCTGCCCTGCTTACTGAGTGGTTACTATGTGCCATTTTAAGTGCAAAGCTATGTTCAGGGAGGAGACAGGTATGCCTACCTGTGATAACCCATAAACCTGCTCTGAATCAGAAAATTTGCTCTGTATGAACTAGGTTTATTCATTCTATAAAAAAGACCGTGAAGTTCCTGCTTGTGAGCTATGGACAACTGTAGTTCAAATATAGAGAGACTTGCTTTCCCTCAAAGTTGCAACTGCAGCATTAGACGATGACACCATCTGCTCTCCCAGGAATCTGAGGGCTGGAGAGGTCAGTATGTACTGAGAAGAGGTTCATGTGCAAATGCAGTGCCCTGTAGAAAGGCTTTGGAAATCTGTTCCCAAATTTCCTTCCCACTTCATTCCCAAAGTTCCCAAACTTCATTCCCAACTCAGCCTGGAATTTAGGCTGAGTTGACTGAAACCCAGACTTGTCTCTTAGTAGCATGTGGACTGGTGGTGGGAAGGCTCTGCCCACACGCCTCTGTTTCCTTGAAAGATCCGACTGAAAGGCATTTGGGCTCCACGTCTCTGATCTCCATTCCTCATAACAACCCTGAGGAGTGGACATTCCTATCATTCCATTTTTCTGGTGAGGAAACAGACTCAAGAGGGAAAATGATTTCTCAGGCTCACATAGCTAGTGAGTGGCAGAACCAGAACAAAATTAAAAGGGATGGATGAGCCTAAGCACTTAGACCTAGACTAATGAAATTCATCAGCCGCCTCATATGAGATTCACGCTAGTAGAGAGGTTAGAATTCAGTGATAATTGTTCTCCAAATCTTGATGTGATTATACAGAAATTCTTTGAGAACTGTTCTAAAACTGGATTGTGGTGATGGTTCCATGAAGTGACCACTTGTCTCAGAAGATTAAGGAAAATAATTGGGCAAGCACTGTTTCATACACATTTTTCACCTCAGTACCAAAGTGAAATAGATTAGCCCATGAACTAAGAACCTGACTGTACGTTAGAACCACGTGATGTGCTTCTAAAATGAAATTGCTCAGGCCCCACCCCCCAGAGATTCCCCTGAATTGGTTTCTAGAATAAAGCCCAAGCAGCAGGAGGTATGAGACACTCTCCAGCTGCCTCCAGTGTGCACCCGTGTTTGGAAACCGCTAGATTACAGGAATGGGGTCGCCCATAGCTGGAGTGCAATCAGGAATGCCCTCATGTGTGGTGAAGAGGCTGGAGAAGCAAGACAAGCCCGGAAGTGAGGAAAGAGAAGTCCAAGCTGTAGGCAGACAAGAGCGGGAGGGACGTGTGGGCTTCAGAAGCACATGTTGTTGGAGGAGGAACACCCTGTTGCAGGGCAGGGAAAATAGGATCCTTTTCACAGCCTTAGGGGGTAGGGGACAGAATCAGGGACAAAGGTTCACTAAATGTCTGCATGCTAGTAAACACCATACATGTGTCCTTTCATCCCCACACAACCCGAAGCCACCTTTTGAAGAGGATGTGAGGCTATCAGCAGTTCTGGCGAAGCCTTGTTTCAGATGGAGTGGGCCAGGGTATGGTTGAAGATGGTTCTGTTTGGGATTAGGAAGGCAGGGAGCTCATGCACCGGCAGGAGATGAGCAAAGCAGCAGGTGCGGTGTCCTCGACCATTGCGTGAGTTGGGAGCCTGGGCATTCTTTGGCAGTTGGGCTGGAGATTCCTTAGAACATGAGGGCTGAGTAGGCAAAAACCAGTTTGAAAGGGACTGTGGAGAAACCCTGGTTCTGAAGATATTGGTGGGACAGAAGGTAAGGTCTGTAATTACCCAGCTCAAGAAAGTGAAGCCCAGGGATGTCACACGTCACTTCTGCTCACCCTCCCACAGAACTGCAGTTTCTGTTAAGGACAATAATTATGTTAATCATTCTATGGCTCAATGGCTAGATGGGAGTGAACAGAAGCTGGCATAAGGCTTTCCTTCAAAGATACAACTGCAGCATTAAACAGACCGTCTGATCTCCCAGGAATCTGAGGGGCTGGGAAGTCAGTATTTACTTAGAAGAGGTTCATGTGGCCGGGCGCGGTGGCTCACACCTGTAATCCTAGCACTTTGGGAGGCCGAGGCGGGCGGATCAGGAGTTTAAGACCAGTCTGACCAACATGGTGAAACCCCATCTTTACTAAAAATATAAAATTAGCCGGATGTGGTGGAGGGTGCCTATAATCCCAGCTACTCAGGAGGCAGAGGTTGCAGTGAGCCGAGATCATGCCACTGCACTCCAGCCTGGGAAACAAGAGCAAAACTCTGTCTAAAAAAAAAAAGAGGTTCATGTGCAAATGCAGAGCCCTATAGAAAGGCCTTGGAAATCTGTTCCCAAACTTCATTCCCACATTTTAACAGATCCAGCTGTTCCTGATGTGCTGAGGGAAGTTCAGCTTTGAGTTTGTAGATGTTCTAGGTGCCTTCCCAGAGTCAATATGGGAAGCCGGGTCGAAGCCAGAGTCTCACACGATACCCTGAGCGGCAAATAGGGCCACCCAGGACAGTGAGTGAGTCACACCCCCAGCCCTGCCAGCTCCAGACAGAGTAATGCCCCAGCAGGCTGGGTGGCCAGCTTCCTTGTGTCCCTCCTGGGGATCAGAAGGGACAGAAGGGTGGGCTGGGAGAACACACTCAACAGATGTGCTGCACAGGGTTTTGCCACAGTTGTGTGACCTACATTCCCTGTTCGCATCTGCTCTCACGTGCCTTCCCCTCCAGCTCCTGGACTCAGGAGAGTTGCTGAAGAAGTTTGTGCAGGGAAGGAATAAAGGATCACACAGGAATTTGAGAGCCAAAGTAGAGTGCGGCTGGCCCCCCAGGCTCAGGTGGGCTAATGGTAAGAACTGAAGATGTTCCCTCTGGACCTTCCAGCCACAGCTCATTGGTGGGACATGTTCTCAGACACTCTTCTAAGTTTTTTGTGCTTTAACTCTCGAGTTACATGTGGTCACTCTCTTAATGAGTTAAGCGTTAGTACAACTTGCCTGTGAATAGAACGTAACAAAATAAAAACATTGTGTTTTATACAAGTCTTCAGAAAATAAACTAGCAGGAATCATTTTACTAAAAATTCTAAGAAAGTAGATGACAGGGATAGAGTCTGAGGTGGTCTCAATATTCATTACTCCGGAACAAGAATCCTTGATGTTCAGCAAAGTATGTGGCCCTTTGGAATAAGAACTACATTTCCCAGCTTCCTTCGCAGGCAGGCAGTGATTAAGCTGTAGCCAAGGGGATGTAGTGAGATGCACACCCTTCCCATCATTCTTCCTTTTTCCTGGAATACAGAGAGAAGAGCTGGAGCTGCAGTAGCCATCTTGAGCCCTGAGATGACGTTGGGGAAAGGAAGTTTTCTAGAACAAGATGACACTGTGGGCACACAAACTATCCCAACTCTAGACTTCTTGAGTGTAAAAGATAGATCAACTTCTATCTTGTTTAAGCCACTATGACTATGAGATTTTTCTTTTACAATCAAATCTTAATGGTAAAATAATCAAGTGAGTTGGTAGAGTAAACATCAAGATATACCGTTTCCGAGTTTGAATAAAATGCTCTTTAAAGAAAGTCTCAGCCAGGTGCAGTGGCGCACGCCTGTAATCCCAGCACTTTGAGAGGCCAAGGCGGGTGGATCACTTGAGCCCAGGAGTTCGAGACCAGCCTGGCTGACATGGCAAAACCCCATCTCTACTAAAAATGCAGAAACTTAGCCAGGTATGGTGGTGCACGTATGTAATCCCAGCTATTCAGGAGGCTGAGACAGGAGAATTGCTTGAACCCGGGAGGCGGAGGTTGCAGTAGGCCGAGATGGCACCACTGCACTCCAGCCTGGGTGACAGAGCGAGACTCAGTCTCAAAAAAAAAAGAAAAAACAAATATTTGGTTACCAGAAGTCCCTCATAAAGTTACTATTGAATCTTTGTATCAAGTTCAATTTTAAGCTGTATATTTGCATATTATTTATAGATTTATGCCTTGTGCAATTATATAAAGTGTTTGAAAAGCAACTGAAACAACAAAAAGACTTCAGCAGTAGAAGAGTTCTAATTTTGATGAAATATTGATAAAACCTACAAAAGCTGCAGGAATGCATTTGCTCAGACAGTTTTCTTTCATTCTTACTGGTAAGCACTCTACTGATTGGAAGGTGTGCACAGTCCTTACGGGAGAAATGTATGTCTTTTATCATATTTATCTCATTAAAAGAAAACCTTAGACAAATTACATTTGAGAGAGTGTGATTGAGCAAAGAATGATTTGCGGATCGGGCAGCCCCTAAACCAGAAAGGCTGAGAGGCTGCGGCGCTGCCTCGTGGTTGAAGATTTGTGGACAGAAAAAGGAAAGTGACGTACAGAAAATGGAAGTCAGATGCAAAAACAGCTGGATTGGTTACAGCTTGGCACTTGCCTTATTTTGAACAGCGTTTGAGCTGTTGGCCACCTTTGATTGGCTAAAATTCAGTGATTGGTACAATAGTAGGTTACAGCCTGTTTACACACCTAGGACAGAGCTCAAGCTGTATCCTATGAACAAGCTGTAACCTACTCTTGTACCCATAGCTGTAACTATTTAGGTTACAGTTCACTGTATACGGAGAATTCTTTAGGCTGGTCTTAAAACATGTAAGGAGGCAGCTTCAGGCTCAACTTAACGCTCTGAATTAAGAGAGACTTAAACATTTCTCTTCAACATCTCATTTAATCCTCAAAATAGCCCTATCAGGTGGGTCCTACTACCTCCATCCTAGAGATAAGAAAAACTGGACTTGGAGGAATTTAATGCCATACACAAGGTTAAGTGAGGTGGAGGCAGGTTCGAACTTTGCTGACCAAGGGCTGAAGGAGAGTTAGATGAGGGGGTGTTCCCACGGGAACACTGGACTCCACCTCACCTTGGCAGGGCTCCCCCCAGGGCTGCAGGATGGGGGTCGTGTTCCTCAGCATGGCCTCTAAGCCCCCTTCTCAGCCTGGCTTGACTGCCCACAGCCCACGTGTGTGCGCAGCTCCA